TGTGTGTGTCATGCATACGTGTGTGTGTGTCATGCATACGTGTGTGTGTGTCATGCATACGTGTGTGTGGGTGTGTGCGTGTGTGAGTGCGTGCATCATGCATACGTGTGTGTGGGTGTGTGCATGTGTGAGTGCGTGCATCATGCATACTTGTGTGTGTGTCATGTATACGTGTGTGTGTGTCATGCATGCGTGTGTGGGTGCGTGCGTGTGTGAGTGCGTGCATCATGCATACTTGTGTGTGTGTCATGTACACGTGTGTGTGTGTCATGTACACGTGTGTGTGTGTCATGCATACGTGTGTGTGTGTGTGCGTGTGTGAGTGCGTGCATCATGCATACTTGTGTGCATGCATGTTTGAGTGTGCATATGTTGTTGCATTGAGAGGGCTAGAGTTGTCATTGTGTTCGAAAGATAAATGACAGACTGGAAAACTTCTGGATATTGTTGTAGGGTGACGACGAGTCACAAGTGGAAGACGCACAGGCACGCATGGAAGAGCTAAAGAAATTACAATCACTTTTTAACGGACTAAAGTTCTATCTCAACCGAGAAGTTCCGCGAGAATCCTTGGCATTCGTTATACGGTAAAGTTGCATTTTCCTGTGTTTTTACATCGGTGTCTGGTAAACCCAATTCAAATTTCGAGCGGAATATCACGCTTTGAACTTGTAAAATGTTACATTACAATGTCTACCAATGTAATGAAGTGTACTTTCGTTTCCACATCTCTCCTATGTTAGTCATAATTCCCTGGGTGGTCAGATGGTCACTGCTTTAAATTATGCTCTCTAATAAACACTGTCACACTGTTGTCGTACATTGCAGTACGTTTGGGGGCCAGGTTTCATGGGATGATACTGTCTGCATCGGTGCTACTTATAAAGAAAGTGATGAGAGCATCACACATGAAGTCGTTGACCGGCCGAAAATCATGGGAAAGCAGTACTTATCCAGGTAAATACTCCGTAACTCTCAGCACTGCTTTGTCAACTCTTATTATACACTCCACCAACCATTTCACTGCAGATGGTGCAGGTAACACCATTTGTTTGTCTGTCTGCGTGCGTGCGTACGTGCGTGCGTGCGTGCGTGCGTGCGTGCGTGCGTGCGTGCGTGCATGGAATAGGTGTGGGTCGCTGTGGCATCGCGATTGTACTCGCTGTGTTGTGGTGGCTGTGTGCTGTTCTGTCGAGACGAATGTGTGACTGTCTGTCTGCAGGTATTACGTGCAGCCGCAGTGGGTGTACGACAGTGTGAACGCACGCACTCTGCTTCCTGCTCAGGACTACCTGCCCGGAGCCATGCTGCCACCACACCTCTCACCGTTCATTGAGGAGAAGGAGGGTGACTACATGCCGCCAGAGCGCGAGGCCATGCTGGCGGGACGAACGACACGCGCACCCGGTATGAATCGTTAGTGGTGATAGTTTGTAGTAGCAGCAGTTACAGTAATGGTAGGAGTAGCAGCAGCAGTAGCAGTTACAGTGGTGGCAGCAGCAGCAGCAGCAGCAACAACAGCAATAGCAGTAGCAACAGCAGCAACAGTAGCAGCAGCAGCAGCAGTAGCAGTTACAGTGGTGGCAGCAGCAGCAACAGTAGTAGTAGTAGTAGTAGTAGCAGCACTAGCAGTAGTAGCAGCAACAGTAGTAGTAGTAGTAGTAGCAGCAGTAGCAGTAGTAGCAGCAGCAGCAGTAGCAGTTACAGTGGTGGCAGCAACAGTAGTAGTAGTAGCAGCAGCAGTAGCAGTAGTAGCAGCAGTAGCAGTAGTAGCAGCAGCAGCAGTAGCAGTTACAGTGGTAGCAGCAGCAGCAACAGTAGTAGTAGTAGTAGTAGCAGCAGTAGCAGTAGTAGCAGCAGCAGCAGTAGCAGTTACAGTGGTGGCAGCAGCAGCTGTAGTTGTAGTTGGAAAGAGACTACTGTGTACCACAGGAGAGAGAGTGAGAGAGATGCTGGTTGGGCAATCAACGTTCGTGATCAAACCTTGCAGTGCATGCCTCATGTTTGTCAGCAAACTGAAAAACCAATTTTACATTTAGAAAAGTGCACTGAATTGTAGGAATACTCTGCTTACTTTACCTAGCTTCCTATCTGTCCTGCCTGCCTACCTGCCTGCCTGCCTCCCTGCCTGCCTGCCTGCCTGCCTGCCTGCCTGCCAGCCTACCTACCTGCCTGCCTGCCTGCCTACCTACCTGCCTTCCTGCTTGACTGCCTGTTTGACAGCCTGCCAGCCTACCTACCTACCTGCCTGCCTGCCTGCCTGTCTGCCTGCCTGCCTGCCTGTCTGCCTGCCTACCTGCCTGTCTGCCTGCCTGCCTGCCTACCTGCCTGCCTGCCTACCTGCCTGCCTGCCTGCCTGCCTGCCTGCCTACCTGCCTGCCTACCTGCCTGTTTGCCTGCCTGCCTACCTGCCTGCCTGCCTACCCGCCTACCTGCCTGCCTGCCTACCTGCCTACCTGCCTGTCTGCCTGTCTGCCTGCCTCACTAGCAAACAGTCTGCTCAAGTAAGTTAAGTAAATATTTACCTCATCATTGTGATTTGCTGCAGATGCTGAGAGCGACGAAAACAGCGATGATGATGATGATGATGGTGCTGATAAGGATGAGGAGGCAGAGGAGGAGGAGGCAGAGGAGGAAGAAGGTGGCAAGAAAGGTGAATTTGGTCATGGTATTTACGTTTACTATTCATTGTGTATTTTGCGGGTGCTGAGTTTGGAGGTTTTACTGTACCATTTTCAACCATGTTAATAAACGCGGGTTCCACTGCTTGCACATTCCATACCATGCCCACAGTGTGTCACACACAAACATGACGGGGGACAGCCATGCTGTGCTTCTCTCGTTCGATCGACGATGGTCTCAGTTTGCAGAGACTTGCACTAGCTAACGCATTTCTTGCATTGACGTTTGCCAACAGGGAAAGGTAACAGGAAGAGGAAGTCGGAGTCGACCATGACTAAGATGGTCGTTGAACGGGGAGCTCCTGAGGATAAGGTCGCCTCGCAGCGATCCGAGTTTTTCGCGAACAAGGAAGAGAAGAAGCTAGCAGAGATGATGATCCCGAAGAAGAGGAAGAGGCTCTATGAGAAGATAGTCTATGGACAGAAGCGCAAGGCTAAGGAGGTGCGGGTTGAATCGCTCATGTTGGGGGCATAGATCGTGGTTAACTGTAAATTCCTTTTTCGTGGGGTACCAATTTTCATGGATTTCGTGGGTCTATCAATCCACGAACTTACGTTCCCAACGAAATATGATGTACAGATGTCAAGTGCCGGTTCTACGATTTCAATCCACGAATTTAAAAATCCACGAACATGTGTTTTTTATCGAAACCACGAAAATTGGGATCCACGAAAATAAGTGACTTTACAGTATTCACAAAGGCTAGAATTTACGGAATGCCATGGGGCGATATTTGTAGATATTTTGTAGTTTTCATTCGATCACTGGCAATGCAATATATAATCATTAGGTATAAATTGTTTTCTTAGATTATTAGAGAAGAGTACATTGGACCATTATTTCAAACTTTGACATTTGCGTGTGTTTTGTTTTCAGGTGGCCAAGTTGACTGATAAGAGAAAGGCGCATGACAGAGCTCGGAACAAAAAGAAGGTAATTGCTCAAAAGTAGCATTTATTCGAATATAGTGTTCAAAATCAGTGAGGTGTCTCTAACCACGTGTGAGCTAGGGATGGCAGCATAGCAATGAACACGTCATGTTACCTCGTAAAATACAAGTAATCATGTCGCTTGCGTCACATCATTGGAAATAGTGTCTGGAACGCTTGTGAGATATTTGGAATACCTAATCAGCTTTTATCATCTCCTACACGAGGTAACGATGCTCGATTTTTTTTCTGTTGGAATTTAAATGTTTCAATCTGTTTATTTTCTGGCATATGATCGTGTTGCTGATGAACGTTTCTAATGGGAAATAAAGGAAAAGATTGTCTTTCTTGCAAAAGTTGTTTTTAGCATAAAAATGGTTTGTGGAAGAGGTAAAAGAAACCATAAATGTCTTCGTGGAATTGCCTGTGATGATTCTTTATGATAGTGCAATATTTATAAATATCGCGGGCTTTCAGCTTTAGAAGTTGGGACGGTCTGAATGTCTTTACTTCACTACAGAAAATTCTTGACCACTATATAACAGTCTTCATTCTCTACAGAAAAACATTGCGTGCATCAAAAAGCAGCACAGAGCCACGCTTATATGTGGTGTTACATTACATAAGAGTTTATATATACTCATAATAATAAGAAACATTGATAGTAAAATGGCAATCTAACGGTATGTAAAGATAAAGACGGTTCCTGATCGATAAAATATAGGACTAGGCTACAACATGACGGAGAAAGGTAAAGCAGATATTAACAGCAAGCACATCTGCGCATGTACAACGCAAACACACTAACACACACGTACGATTGTACGGACCTAACGTACGATTGTACGGACCACACGTACGATTGTACGGACCACACGTACGATTGTACGGACCACACGTACGATAAACAATTTGGCTATACGTAAGGCCACGTGTATAATACACATTTGGCTATACGTAAGGCCACGTGTATAATACACATTTGGCTATACATACGTAAGGCGGGTAGGCCACGTGTATAATAATTTACATCGCAAATATATAATAGCGATAGTAACCGCTTATATTTTAATTGAAGAGCTTTATTTTTTATAATATAGTGATTACCCTGTAAAATCGAGCTTGGACCAGTAACTTAATTATGAAAGAAGATAAAAAGTAACATTAGTACAGGAGAGTAGTATAATTTAGTTCTAAAATTCAAGTTTTATTTGCAAATAGCAGCAAGTGTAGCCTACACCAGTTATTATATACCTACTCTTAAAAGAAACTGCATATAAAATCAGCTCTGACATGAACTAGAATTTTGATATAATCATGGCACGGGTGAAACATTACATTTAGTACTTACTTATTTAAGTAATGGCTAAGAAAGGGGTAACGCCTAAATAAAAATATTACATCAGTATGCACGTATGTGTGTATATGTATATATACAAATAACATATATAATATACATATGTATATACACATATACATCACACATTTGTGATTATTTATATTTATACCTGACATACATACATACTAACGCAAACGTGCGCGTACGCACGCACACACGCACGCAAAATTTTGGTATGGTAAATACACAATATAATTCCAGCTTAGTTTATCTGTCATTTCCCCCGTCGTGATCATTAGTGTCGTGAATCAGTGTAACGTATATATAGTGTAAACGTATTGCGTATACGTTATATAACTTGATGCTGCCTAAATGCCTTTAGCTGCATGCAGCGACTAACATCAATACCGCAAGATAAAATAAATGCCCTTTTCATATACTTTTAAAGATGGTTATAAGATAATTACCAAAGTATAACAGTTATTACATGGCCAACATGCACACAGTGTCACAAAGGCGTTGTGATTGTACTTTTAAATAATAATAATAATAAACAATTAAACACGATACTATAATAATTAACGGACCCTTCCAATTTCGTTTATCTATTATATATACCAGCGATTTGTGCGCATAGGCACATGATCAATGAGTCACTATCATAATTAATTAAAAATTACACGTCTTAAATCGCTATCAACCACATATACAAACAGTTAAAACAGCACCAGTTGTTTGCACGCATATGTTTCCATGGCAACCAATATAACGCCGCTATGTGAGAAGGCAATCCAGCAGACTGCATCTAAACTCCTTCTGGGGACAAAGATGTGCATTTTTCAAAATCTTGTTCGGCTTTGTATGGAATCGAATGTTCACCTGGGGAGAAATAAAATTCGATGGAAAGAAGATCTAATCAAAATTGATTATCATCTAAATTATTATCTCATTACACGAATAATAACAGGAGTAAGATAATATAGGATCCTATATTATCTTACTCCTGATAATAACACAGCATGTACGTGGCAGCTAGACGATTCGTGGCCCACTAAAAACCACAATCATTGCTGCAACAATACATGAAACGGGATATGGCTGTGAAACGAGCACCGACACATGCGCCAGCAACAGTGAGACACCCATACCCCCCAGCGTCTAATGTTCACTAACCATTACCGCATTGTCGCGCGACAGAATCTTTCTTATGCTACACTGTTGCAGTAACTCCACGTGGATGCGATTAATTACTCTCCATCAAAACAACTTCCACGAGATATATACGATACTCGGGGGCTTGACGTGTGTGCGCGTGTGTGTGTGCGTGTGTGCGTGCGTGCGTGTGCATGCATTATAAATGCCAGCTGTGTGGTGAGAACGCCCCCCATCTGCTGATATGCTCATATATCACCACGAGTCCTAGCCTATTGTAATTCCACATACGATCGACAATCCACTATTATTTTACCCCTAGTGTCACGAAATCGCCATGAGGGCCAGGTGTCAATATCCTGAAATCCATACACAGTGTCGACACCTCTATAGAGTAAGCTGTCTGTAGAGTCACCCCTGTCTATAGAGTCACCCCTGTCTATATTCTATAAGGATACTATATGTAGCTCTCATTTTTAATCACGATCTCTTGAACTTGTATGTCCCCCTTATCCTTTTCGCTCTCTCTCCCTGTCTCTTTCTCTCTCCCCCTCTCTCTCCCTGTCTCTCTTAATCTCTCTCTTTCTTTCTCTCGCTCTCTCTCTCTCTCTCCCTCTCTTACTCAACCTCCCTCCCTCCCCTCTCTCTCTTTCTCTTTCTCTCTCTCTCCATCCCTCCCTCTCCCTGTCTCTCTTAATCTCTCTTTCTTTCTCTCACTCTCTCTCGCTCCCCCCTCTTTCTCTCTCTGCTGCTGCTACTAAAAACCACATGATATAGCATAAACACTGTGCCACTATTTCGCACAGCCAATACGTAAAGCCAATACGAAGCAGCAATCTTCATAACATAAAATCTTTCACCGATATGCACTGCATATAGTGTAGGTAGGTGTGTTTCTATCGTGCACACGGACGCATGTTTTGCTACATACGCATGTTACGTATGTTGACACATGTTATAACCTCAGAGATAACGGCATTGGGCATGCGTGCGTGCGTGCGTCGCGTTCACCCACGTCAACTCGATGTAAAGCTCTCACCCGTGGCATTCTCCTCACAGACAACAGTCCGTCTCTGTGGAATAGGTGAGGCAGGTTGGGGTAGGTGAGGGCTCCTCCCTCGCGCACCTCGTTCAGGGCCTCGTAGAGCGTCACACACGTCTGCAGACGAAAAGACAGAAAACGTTTCGGAGACCTGTTGTTTGTCGGAGATGTATCGTAGACAGATACAACGTCTTATCTACGTGTAAAATGTCAAGGTTATCTAAGTGTTGTTCAAAGGTTATCTAAGTGTTGTTCAAAGGTTATCTAAGTGTTGTTCAAAGGTTGTTGTATTATATAACTATTCATGTTTCTGACGGTTTACTTAATTCGTCCGGGTGTCCCCTCCAACTCACGTTGAGGTCCTTAAAACTGATCACCAACCCCAACCCCAGCATTCCCAACCCCAACCCCAGCATCCTCAACCCCAACCCCAGCATCCCCATGCCAGGGAACACACCTCAGCTGACAGAAGTCGTGTGCTCGAGTGCCACATGAGGGCGCCGGACGTCGTTCCTAAGGCTGCATGACGCCTTCCCTCCTCGGACTTCCATCCCTCCGATAGAGTGACCTCTTCGTGACCTGACGACTCGATTTCTGCTTTGTCGGCGATTGTTGTGGCAGCGTCGCCGGCACTGCTGTGCCGATGCAGTTCTTGTTGTTCGATTCGTCGTGTGACCACGAGGCAGCGCCACCAGCACTGGACAGTAATGGCAGCCCTACACACCCTCACAAATGTGCGTCGCACCTTCCACCGTCGGAATGCTGAAGACAATAGACAAAAACAACATTAGAAGCAGGAAATCCATCTCGTGCAGCTGTCTATATTAGCAATACACTGATTATGTTGGGTGGGACTAGATTGTACCTGCTTGAATGCGGCTAGCTGCCTCATGCTGCTGCTGCTGCTGCTGTCGCTGACACGCTGCGACGTAACGTCGCCAACACCTCTGCACGACGCTAGCACAGCGTGTCCTAAGAATGGCTCTACTTGCCTCCAGTTTGCCAATCTGCAACGGTCATTATACGGTATCTGACGTTAGCCTTATGATATATGATATCAGTGTAGAGCCATTCAATAGATATAGCTATAACAAAAAGAGGAGAGCCAGAAAGAAATCTTCTCAACTATATATATATATGGAAATTCCCAGGATTTCTATATATAGATGCAGACATTATTAAACGGGGGAAATTAAAGAGCTTCTTCAGTCTGCAAATGGGATAAACTATTAAGGGTCATGTTTTTCTTGTCCCAAATCCTTACAAAATAATAATAAATAACAAACAATATTAAATTTAATCGAAAATTCACAGAACAGTGTCTGCTAAAACTAGTTTATGTTTCTCCCTTTTTAGTCATGGGTGGCATGGGCAGGGGTCTTAACTATATGCTGACTATTATAATAATTTTTTATTTATTACTCAGTGTATATTTATCTACACACAAAATACACACAAATTGACACGATTGTGTAGCAAAATAACATGAACAATAGGTAATAAATCAATAAATCAATAATTACTAAAATGATGAACTTGTAGTCTAGACCCCTCCTCTACACCACCCACACGTAAAAATTAGGAGTACATTAGTAGACAATGACCTGTGAATTTTGAATTAAATTTAACATTTTTTATCAACGACTTGGAATAGTTAGTCGGACAACCAGCAATGAAGGTTAGCTTTTTAATTTAGGTCCAAAATGTAAAATTCCAGGACATTATACATAAAATAAGGACTTGGACCTATTTCCAAAATCTTTCAATGACAAAAGGAAAAATTAAGATTCTTTCAATGACAAGGGACAAAATTCAAGGAATTTTAAGGGCTCTGGGAACCATGAAAGGACTTAGCAGTAAATTGGTTACATTATCTCCCAGTTTACAATTCAGTTTCAAGAGCCTAAAGATATTGATACCAAAATGTGTCTGATAAATGCCTAGCTCACATATTAATAATTAGAATAGAGTAAATAGCATTCAAGTACAGATTTACTACGCTATTTGTACGAGTTATGATGTCAGGGGCCACTACTTTATACTACTCATGACTTTAGGGGGTTACCTGTTAAAATCCAGACTTTCACAAATAGGACTTTATTAATATACAGGTAAATCTCACAGGTGAAGAGAGCAGGTTACTAGCTAATTGATGGTTAATATCTAAATGGGCGGTTACTCTTTGTACATGGATAGAAAGCACAAGCCAAGCCCTTTTCATAAGAAAACTCCCAGTTCAGAGATGGACAGAGTTTCGGATAACAGTCGGTAAAAAAATCGAATGAAACTTACCATCTTGTCTTTGAGAAACACTTTAGTCCTGCCAAACTGCATTTGGTCAGTCAACGTGAGACACTCCTCACCAAATTCTTGGCTCAATATGGCAGTGGTTTGCCGGCGCGAGGTCTTCTGCTTGCCTGCTGAAATTGTATGAAGCCTGCATTAAGAGTTTAGACAACGAGGAGATGGAGACCTGCCACAATATGGAGCCCAATACATGCGGCCTATATAAGACATAGGTGCTCTTTGAAAGCCCTGTTGCCTCTTTATAGAGGCTGTGGGGGACTGTTCGGGATGCAGGATTGAATAAATTTAATCATGTTGGAACTGCAAACTACCAAGATTTTTTTCGTGGTTCGGGATTAGAAGTCAACCATTGCGCGAGAATGCTTGAATCTCATTTGATTGAACCTGACATCTGGGAAATGGCATATTTTTTGTAAAACACATACTGGTTACAGCTACGTGTCATAGAAAGGAGAGTTCAGAGGTACGGGTGGGTAGACGTCAATCGGTTTGACGAGTACTGCACAGCGGCACGTACCATTGATGCACGGGGATGACAGGGAAGCCTTCACAGCACTCCCCCTCCCATCGTTAGAGTGACTAGCCGAGGGTGCACCGGCGTTCTCCTTGTCTGCATCGTTCACTTTCTGTCGCGGCGTTTTCACACTCTTGCAACTTCCCGGAGTCTTGCCGAGCAGTAGACGATATCTCAGCGAGAACTCCTCATATGAGATCCTGTGTGTGTGCGCGCATACCATGATTGTGTTACCGTTACACCTTAGTGACCGCCCCCTCCATACACATACTCAAAAGTAGGAATGGCATGATGTTTAATCATGGAATAGCAGCATTCTAAAACACATCGAAACCTGCACAAAGATTTCAGGAAATAGCACACGTAATGTGCGAGCGATCGCCCGATCAATTAAACTGCAATATATTCTTTAGGGATCAACAATACTCGCTAATCCCCCCCACAATTCACACCGAGTAACAGGCGCCACCTGGTGGCAGCACGCACGCATACCGGTCGGGGTAGCAGGCCTTGCTAATTTGCACCATGGCAAGGACTCCGCATGCCTCCAGCTGCGCCATCACGCAGCGGCTGTCAAAGTCTCGCGGCGCGGCGCGCGCGTTAGGCCGGATGCAGCGGATGTAATGCGGCCGCATACGCTCGAGCCGTGACATCAGCCCCACCAGCGATTCCTGTGCGAGAGAAAACACGATAGATTGAGCCACTCACTTCCTATCTCAGTTAACATCGACATATAATAATCGAGGCATGTGTAAAGTTACTACTTATCACATATATCACCTGCAAATGAAGACAGATGTCATTATTAGCCACAAACCTTGAACTTGGAGAGCACCGTTTGCTTTTGGTTGGGTCTACCTCGGGCATGATCGTCGTCAACGTTGTCCTCACTGTCACAGAATAGCGAGCTAACAAAGACGTTCTTACTGTTGCGCAGCAAGTCTGTTAGCTCTTCTGGCACCTTGTCCTAAACGATTGCAGAACCACTGACAATAACTGATTTGCCACGTGTAACCTTGTTACCATGACAATAACTGATTTGCCATGTGTAACCTCGTTACCATGACAATAGCTGATTTGCCACGTGTAACCTCGTTACCATGACAATAACTGATTTGCCATGTGTAACCTCATTACCATGACAATAACTGATTTGCCATGTGTAACCTCATTACCATGACAATAACTGATTTGCCATGTGTAAACTCGTTACCATGACAATAATTGATTTGCCACATGTAACCTCGTTACCGTGACAATAGCAAGGTTGTTGGTTCAAGGGTTTCCTAACATTACTAAACTTTGTCTCATGAAATGAGAGATGCGAATAAGAATGCGATAACTCGAATGTACAAAACGCTGTAGTCACATCTCTAAAGGCTGCCAGATCTTATAATATACAAATACATGCACATATGAAGGCTTTTCACTTTGACCACTTTGACTCTTAAGTGCAGTGTGAACTTTCACACAACCCGTAAGCAAATTCCATAAATGTATCATCACCTTGTTTTTATCCACCATGCCATCAGTAACATACACGACATCCCCGGCGTAATGTCGCACCACAAACTCGCACTTTCGGCTCGGTTTCGGTGGCGCCACCAAGCTGCGGTTGGCGGCGAGCTGTGTGACAATTCTGTCAGCTACCGATGCTGAGTTTGATTCTCTCATCAGTCTACACTCCTGCAAGCACATATACAGTCAACCCTGGATGTAACAATCACTCCATGCCAAAAATGTCCTTTATGGACAGGGGAGCAATCCAAAGAGATGGTTTTACCATATAATTGCCATTCAAGAAAACTGCCAAAAGTCTATTCTATAGCCACGTATCTGGTCTGTAGAGGTGACTACAAACCAGGTTTCGCCATCTGAGAAAACCACGGGGCCTAAAACAAGGCCCCATTATTTACTCGACGAGGCTGATTTTCTCTCGACGGGGCTGATTATTTTAAACTGATGAATTAAGTAATAAAAGCATTGAAATCTGAAAATTTGACGGGGGCCAGAAAAAAAAGCCCCGTGGACACCGGAGATGGGGTTGTTTACGAGGCTTGGCCCGATCGGCCCCGTGAAAAAGCGAAGCCTGCTACAAACACATGTACCCTCACTGGAAGGCTACACTAGAATAAATACATCAGTGATATGTGACATTTTAAATGGGCATACCTCATTGAGCAGTGTAAAGATACCAGGAGTGCCTTCTAGTAACATCAGCGACTCCTGGTTGTCGTTGTAGGCAAGAGGGAGCCACTGTAGACGCTCTGCAATGTGTTCCTCTTCTTGCAACTGTGCGGGGAAGAAACAGCCAAGGTATACGCTAATGAACATAATTCGCGTGATTATGATTAGTAATATAATATGCATGTCAGGACATGAAATATCAGCACCACTGAAGCTGATATCAGTGAGAGCACCACCAGCAGCAGCAGCAGTAGCAGCAGCAGTAGCAGCCAATCGTAACCTTCGCGCCCGGAGACACCAATCGTAACAAGAGGTTGGGCCAGAGCATATCAGGGCCAAGTCCCTACAGTTGCGTACTGACGCTGTGAAAAACACACAACACAATACAAGGTACGAAATGTTGATCATCATGTAAAAAGTAGAATGCCACGAGTGCATTACAGTACTACACGCCATGACACATCACAACACAACACAGCACCAAACAACACAAACAAAACCGACTGCCTAAATATAAGTACCTTGATGAAGTTTTTCACAAAGTGCTGCTGCAGTTTTTCGTTTGTGTAGTTGATGCAGAGCTGCTCCAGGCTGTTGTTCTGTAGGCTCTCAAAGCCATACACATCCAGCAGACCTGGTCGGGTAGAATCGGGTTAATTAATGTGTCGTTTGTCTCACATCATCTTAGCAGAACACTCGCAATCAGAAAATTCATACCCAGAATAAATTACACTGCGATATTGCGATATTGCGACATTGAATTATCAGATCAAGAATTGTAACAACAAATATGATGAGTTATTATAACTTACACCTGATTTTACTATATTATTATTATTATTAAATTATTATTGCTGTTAGCGTTATTGTTGTTTATTTATACAAATTTATGTGTGTGTTATGACAATGCGTGATCACCTATGGAGGTCCTGACGGCTGCATCAGCAGTAGAAATATGGACGTTGATGAATTCCACCATCCACCGGAAGATCCTGCAACGACGAACCCCGTGTATGTATGTAGTCTTCCAGCAATCTTGACCTCGTGTCTCATTGCACTCATACTCACAAGCATGCCATGCAGCATGAGCCTAACTCCTCATTGAGCGCGATTCCAATGAATGCTATAACTCCTCAGTGACGGTAACACTGACAAACACACTCGCTTCGCAAGAGGAAAGCGATTTGCGATAGACACATGACCCTGACCACATGAGTCAATTGATCCTGCCAGCGAGGTAGGTTAGAGAGAATATAATATGGTGGCGCACACAATCAGCCATTCAGTGCTCATTGCTTGTTATGACATCTTGTGATAGGTCACAATGATAGGACAACGATTTCAGGAATGTTTGCGGTTATTTGAGGAGTTGATCAGGTATCAAGGGATCGCGCTCGCATCCTTGCTCTCCAAAACATGCACAGCATAGAACGTCTCGGATCGTGCATCAGCGAGAGTTGATGGTGGAAGCAACGAGCAAAGCTCACCTGTTGTAGAGCAGCTTGGCAAGGCAGTCCCTCCTCGTGATGCACTCCTGTGGCGAGCATGGCTTGTGGAAGATGCTGTACCGCCTCCGATGCGACGCCGTGATCGTGCGCACCGTCAACGTGGCGGCCATCTTGGATGGGTCCACCCCCAGCAGACGCGCTGAGAGCTGCCAGCCTCGCACTGACAAATGAACATGCAATTAGATACATCACTGAAGCCCAGGCAGCACAGAGGTCATTCTACATTGTTAGTGATCTCTTCCTATGCAATTATTGGCGGAACGTACACGCGTAATGTTATGCACATATTCACAGATAGGTCGCATACGGGGTATGTTACGTACATATTTATATCTGTCTACATACTACTAGTGACCTAATGATTAGTTTATGTTCTCGCCACGTCCAGAGTCATGCACACGTTCTATCTTCTGGTACGCTGAGAGTGTAAGACCACAGTGACAGAGCCATACCGGCGATCCATACACTTGTTTCATCCGGTTTACTGTACATTGCACTGACAAGTAAGGACCTTGCAAGCTCTTGCTACTACTAATGCACTTTTATTAAATTAATAAATATAATAATAATATTAATCATTATTATAACAACAACAATGACAATAATAATAACAATATTATTAGTAATAATAATAATAATAATAATAATAATAATAATAATAATAATAATAATAATAATAATAATAACCAGAGCTGCAGTCCTTTTCGTTGACCACCGACGCAGACATATCTTCGAAATCCTCGAAGGTGACGTTGCCGAGATGTAGGATGGCACTCAGCATGACAAAGACATGATTCTGCTCGCCGAACGACAAACCGATATCAGACATGGCGTCCTTTGTCACACACCACCCTTCCTTGTCATCATCTGCGTATGTATAGTAACAGCAACAAACAGTTAAACCTCGATTATCCAAACAAGACGGGCGCGGAGTATTTTGTTCGGATAACTGATGGTATAGTGGCTTATTAAATATTCACAGGACCTTGAGACCTTGTTCGGATAACCGAGGTTTGACTGTACATGGAAGGAAGCATGCGGTAATTTCCATTTAATTCAAGTTAAATGCTGTAATGTAGACAAAGTAGGGCCGTGCTGTGACAAGGCTGCGTTATTGTCTCCCGTGTTGACAGTAACCTTTCGCATGCATACGGGTAAGCACAAAACCCCAGGTGTGCAGTGCAGTTGTGTCCCTTGTGCATTTATTTTAACTCAATAATTGCCCAACATATCAGATGGAATTAGTTAGAAAGATATATGAACACTGGCGGAAGTAAAATGAGCTGATTTTACCATGGTTCTTTGAGTGATCCCCAACATAGTTAAACGTGCTGCCCTCTTCTGGCCGTTCTAATTGCCATAATGACATTTCCTCTGCGTTGGCACCACAAAGCATCTAAAAGACAAACAACATAATCTCCTTAAAAGAAAGAAAGAATGCTTACGTAACTTACTGGACACTAGTGTCCAGAAAGGAAGCTTAGGTCAGAATATCAGGGGCTGGAAAACATCTCCCTGGGAGAAGATTCACGTAAAAGGAAGAGGCATGTGAAGTTGTCGGTTACCAGGGATACGTACTTGGTAGAAGATGTGAAAATTCCTTTCTCCAGCACCGCGTGCGATCACCCTCGTTTTCTCTAGCAGGTACGTCTCTAGACGGGCGCCTACAATTTGGTTGCGAGCACCGTACTGCATCTGTACGAACTTTCCGAAGCGACTGCTGTTGCCATTGTGGACCGTGCTAGCATTACCTGAAAGTCACGGTGACAGTCTATTAGCTCTTGCTCCAGCTCTCTCTCTATTTCCCTCTCTCTCGCTCTCTCTCTCTCTCTCTTTTTCTCTCTCGGTCGCTCCCTCTCTCTCTTTATCTCTCTCTCTCTCTCTCTCATCTCTCATTCAATCTCGCTCTTTCTACTCCTTGCTATTAGGTAGAGTAGTAAAGTCCAGGCTCTGCTCAATGCTCTACTTCTCACTCCTCTATCCTCACCCCCTCCCCCACTGATCGATTTATACCGAACGCTTCGAGGATCGGGTTCGAGTCAAGGATCTTCATCTCGATGCGATTCGCATCGGTCGTTGTCGATGCCGTCACGCCATGACAGTCCTGCACGGCAACGCTTGTCAGGTACTTCATGATGTAGCGTGCCGTGCACGTCTGAAACACACTCAGACAATTCATAAAATGCCCTAGAGCCCATTTCACGCCGATATTTTTTACAATCTTTGATCGTCAGAACGTGCCGATCTATCTACAATCGAGAAATCACATTAGCCAGTAAAAAACTGGTAGGAACATGTGCAATTTCAATATGGCGGCACCAATGAATAAATTTATGTAAATTAAAAACAGGCCAAAATATGCCAACTACATGCACTGTCAAAGGCTGTAAAAGCATGCATGCAGCAGATAACACAGTATCGTTTTATCGTCTGTCATGGAAAAACATACTGCTGTGCAGACGATGGCTTATATTTATTCAAGCTGGATTTTCAGAAAATGAAGTCAACAGATGCCATAATATTTACTTTTTTTCCTACCAGTCTGCGATTCGTTGTTGGAGTCACATGATATTGCGCCATGTGACTTGAATTCCGAGCATTGTACAGAATTGACCGATTGCACAGTGCAATGGGCTATTACAACAGCGATTTGGTAAAACTGTCTGCCACACCCACTGGCTGGATAGTTTAATCCTATACGTTCAAAGAAGCTGAACAAAGCCTTGTATATCTTGCACACTAGTGAAGACTACCTTTCCTGCTCCACTTTCACCACTGATTATGATCGCCTGGTCGGTGGCGCCCCCACAGTCGCTGCCGGCACCGCGGCACAGTTCTCTGTACGCCGCGTCAGCCACAGAGAATACGTGTGGAGGCAGGTCCTGATACATGGGTGAGAGAGAGAGAGAGAGAGAGAGATGGATTCACGTAGACATGCAGGGATGCAGTCACTGCACATCGTAAACAAAATGCCTGTCACGACCCATTACTGGGAGATAACTAAAAGTGTAGTTTTAACCTGGCTGAAACAGCTCTAAGCAATGCTCTAGTAGTAATACAAGCCTAGACAGTTATAACACTTTATCCAACACCCCCTCCCCAAATGCTTGCATCTATCGGGCTTGTCACCCATACAATAACCACTTGACATCCCACGACAGTCTACCATTCGTCAACCCCCACCAAAACCAACCTCCCCCCATATAGCCCTTCACTTTGCAACAGCACCTTTACCAACATGGCCTTTCAGTGAAGTGCTGCATAGGTAGATGCCATTACTGACGGGATGCAGGGTAAAAAATACACGGGAGCGATGAGCGATTCGCTCTACAAACCTCCGAAATCGCTCCCGTGAGACTCAAAATAGCTCCCGTAAAATTTATGACGAGAGCTATTTTTTCCACAGATTTTTGAAAAAGAGCTCCCGTGAAAATAAAGTAATTTTCCCCCTGACGGCATGCGACGGTGGAGCAGCTTACCATGGCTGCGCGGGAGTACTCGCCGATGGCACGATTACCGTACATCGTCGGCATCATCTCGCACGGGTTGACAGCCAGCAGCGTGTTGCCCACCCTCGTGTAGAACGCACGATGCTCGCTCCGATCCCTGATGCAGTCCAGAACTAACAGTAACAACAACACAACCAGGGAAAAAATTACTTTTTTTTCACGGGTACTCTTTTTCAAGTCTGTGGGAAAAATAGCTCATGTTAAAATTTTTACGGGAGCTATTTTGAGCCTCACGAAGGCAATTTCGGAGGTTTGAGGAGCGAATCGCTCATCGCTCCCGTGTATTTTTTACCCTGAACACAACAAGCTGGGCTGCAGGTGGGTGCTCATGGTCAGGGTACACGAGTTCATATAAGAATGGGCACATCTGACAAGGTAAACATACACACGTCCACATACACACACACGCATGTTTTTTACTGTCCATGTTTATTGTAGATGAAACCAAGATACGAATACATAATCTTTTGCAATCTAGTTGCAGGGAATCTCTATGGTATGAAGCTGAAACTCTGTTTATGGGCACTGTGGTGCATATATACAGTACAGTACCTGCTGCATTGCTTAGAGGACTTATCTGCGTGAGGTTCTCACACTGCAAGCATCCATAGTCTCCCGCCAGGGGGAGCTCTGTGCGCGCTGCGAAAGTTTGTGTCTGAAACAGGATTGTTATGAAATCGTGATGCCTTGCCATGTCTGCTGGTTGTACTGCTTGCTTGATAATATGCTTTAGACAAAATTGAGTAAATATTTATAACTGAGTAAACAATAATAACAATACTAATTATTGCTACCTTACATCCATATATATATTATCTGCATTGACATTTAACTTTGCACGCACTCCGCAGACATAATATTCGATGACAAAATGCAACCATTTTTGATCGACGTATGAAACACACTAAATGAAATTACCTTGTTATCCAAGAACCTCACAACAATACTCCCACTCTCCTTGATGTCATCCACGATCGCAGTTGACCACACTAGCTCAGGATGTGGTGCAAAAACTTTAACTCCCTATAAAATGATTAATAAAGTATAAAACTTATATGTGAAATATGGTAAAATTTGACACGTCATTATGACAAAGATAATATATATGTTTGTATCATATGGAAAAGTGTTAAAATATGATGGTGAAATTGAAATAGAATCTGGTTGGTTTCCTGGTTTGATAAAAGTGCAGATCTGCACATTATAAAGAATTATAGAACTGTCTTACTGGGCACATTACCTTAGTCACACTTGGTAGTCTACTGTACGTAGGAACTGGTTTGCAAGATACTGTGCGCGTATCACCAAGTATGATGCGTTTCTTCCTAGTAGGCGTAGTTGCATGTTGCAATACCTAAAATTACAGCAGGAATTTACATTGTTATTCCTTACACCAAAAATTTGCTACATTTTGGACCGCATCTAGGATAATGCACACATAATCGTATGTGTGCATACGAACACAATGCACACAATAAATGTATTTAAATGTATTTAAATGCTTTTTTTTGCTTGTTTCTGTAATTATTGAATTGTTGCTAATTGGTTGAATTTACAGGATTTATTCCTGGTTCTGGCTTCTGTGATTTTGTTATGCAGTTGCTACTGTCTTTTCTTTGCATGAAATCTCTTCAATTAATGTACTTTCACTTATTTTGCCTGTCAATTACAGTAAAAACCCGCATATAAGAACATAGATTTTAAGAACATGTTAGGCTAAAATTTCCCATTTAGACCCCTTTACATAAGAACCTGTTTTAGGCTAAGATTTTAAAGTAGGTTCTTAATTTTCCATGCAGATGAAGACTTAAAAAGAAACACAGGTAAAATAAAAAAGACGAGCTCAACAATATCGATGCAATAACAATGCCAATGCCAATGCCAATGCCAATGCCAATGCCAATGCTCAACAATAACAATGCCAGCACCCTGGCATTGTTATTGAGACACAGTACTGCATTATTTACATATACAGTAAAAACCCGCATAAAAGAACACGTCGATTAAGAACACTCAGGCTGAAATGCGGTCAAAAAATTGCATATACATAACACATTCAGCCTGTTCCATATAACACCTTACACATAACACTACTGTACTGGTAACACATGCATCACAGTCACTAAGGCCGCGCGTAGCGCGGGTTTCAGCTAGTACATATTAAAAGTAGAAACAATTAAGAACCTATTTAAGAACCTTTTGAGCCTAATTTTTCAGTAAGCACCATTTATATAAGAACATGTTGAGGCTAACTTGGAAAAATCTATGTTCTTATACGCGGGTTTTTACTGTATTGTTCAGCGTTGCTCCTATGAGCGTTTTTTCCCCTTTCTATTAACATCTATATATATTTAGGACCTGCATATGTTTATTTGTATTGCTGACATCAGGTTCATGTAAACTCAGGTTTATTTGCATGTAGTTTATTTATAGTTTATTTATTTTTATACATCGCTCATATATAATTTTGTAATTTTCAATCGTCATTCATGGATTAACTTTCTGTATTTAACTTTATATTGCGGAGTGGCCGACTTGAAGACTGTACAGTCAATTCGCTCTCCCTCGCTGCATTTATTTAGAAATTCGTGACATCTATGTAACCATGTAAACTTTTGAAAGCGTAAATAAATTTCAAAATCTAAATCTAAATGTAAATCTAATCACGTACAACGAACAATGCAGATATGAGTAATGTTACGTTTAGCTCTAGTACTATATAGCCCTTGTTGCCACAGGTGCCTTGTGCCTGTCGCAACAAGGGCTTTGGTACTAGAGCTATGTTACATTATGTTATATTCTGATACTTGTCGGTATCCATTTACTGATTTAGCTCTAACCGTGTGGCATGTCTAGGCCTACACTACAGCCTACAGCCTACAGGCTACATGCGAGTCTTCGCTCCCGGCACAGGCAGTTGAAGCGTTTCAATAAAATATAATGCTAAGTAAATACGAAATCTATTAACTACCAAATTCTTAATGTTTCCATACTCTCTTTCACCTATTATTGCCGACAGTTATTGCCGTCCAAATCCTCTATCTGCAACACATGCTGGCGACTGCCATTGCTCCCGCGGCTGCACTGTGCACGCTAACACTTATATATATATAGCAGGTAGGAAAGCGTGCTGCCCAAATTCGCTCGACGCTACGATTTCACACGATTACAACACAAATATTCAACCATTCTACTCCATCTTTGTTTCCATTTCAAGAACAGTGTTCACTTGTTATAACAAGTGCCGCATAGCGACAGCGCTCATCTAACGTCTACTGCGGTGACTCTGTGGTGGAGTGGAGGGATTCTAGTAAACCCTGTTAGTCCCAAATGTGTTCACATAATCCGCCCGAAACAGTGGATGCACAGGGATGGTATCAGGAACCTTCTCAAAAGAATGTTCGTTGGATCGTTATGAAAGTTCTGCCACGAGATGGCGCGTACGTTTAAGTGTCTTCAGAGTTAAGATGGAAGCCCCATCATTCGTAGTAGCAACAACTATTTGCAAGACAGAATAGGTAAGCACTCATCCATTTACCTACGCAAGCCACAGGCTGCAAATTGCAAATAGAGAGCTGCCACCTGCAACCAATTAATGCAGGCAAAAACTGCCCCCAACACAATGCACAGCCACTGCAGTGGCATAACGTTACATGTAACATACTGACAGGACAGAATGACATAGAAATTATACGATTTAAGGAATATACACCTTCTTTAACCAAATTTAGCTTTTGAAATTTCACTGTGACATTGTAGCCTCATACATCCAGGCCATGTATAGATTCTACTAGCAAAACCGGCAGTCAAATTCTTCTAACAGACAGTCAACAAATCCAAGTTTAACCCTGCTCTTGAGGGTCAAAAGGTTATCCGACACTTACTCTTCGCATGTCAGCAGAAGGGACATTTCATGTCCTTTCAAAAAGCCATAAAAAATGCTAGTCACCGCTGAAACAAAAAAGTTTTTCAATCGGCTCCGTCAGACCATGTCCTCAGAAAATGTCTAAAATCTGCCCTGTGCCCACTCGACCTTTGACCTGTGACCTCCAATTCGGCACAGTGATGGCTTTTTCCTACCATGATGCTATACACCGACTATCACGAGCCTAGGTCGAGCCGTTTAGATTTGTGCCGCCAATTCTGCATTTCCTCCCTATACCTTAAGTTAAGGAGTGAATGTTCCCCTTCTTTTACACCTCTTGACCTTTGACCTTTGACCCCAGCGTTCGACATCCCAACTCGTTTTCGATTACCCCCCCACGTCCCGGAATATCGTGACCGTCTGTCGAAGCGTTAAGATTGTGTGCCCAACTGTTGACGACGGAGGGACGGACGCACGACGGACGATCAAGCGATTCTACAAGCTGCATCTGACTATGGTCAGATAAGCTAAAAACATACTGTCTCTGTTCGTAATCGAGCTGTGTCACGCGGAAATCACACAAAGACTGACGAAAATTCTCGCGTTCGCTAACGTTGCCCCAGTAAATGTAAATGGCTGTCAGAATCAGGAAACACCCACCGGCGCTCTTCGTGACCTCATTCTTGCGCCGCAACGCTGCCAACGTTTTGCAACGCTTCAATGGCGAGGCTCGTACGGGAGTTGGAAAGCAGTGTGCCGCCTATAGCCATAGACTGGTACTCGCCTCCCACCTCGCGGCTTAGCTTAGTTACTCAATGGGTAATCGATGGGAGCGAGTACCAGTCTATATAGCCCTGTACTTGCAGGCCATTTACATTTACTGGGCAACGTTAGCGAACGCGAGGATTTCGTCAGTTTTTTGTGTGATTTCGCGTGACACAGCTCGGTTACAAACAGAGACAGTAGATGTTTTATAACAAGTGAACACTGTTCTTGAAATGGTAACAAAGATGGAGTAGAATGGTTGAATATTTGTGTTGTAATCGTGTGAAATATCCAGCGAGCGTCGAGAGAATTTGGGCAGCACGCTTTCCTACCTACTATATATAATATCAGGAGTGTATCAAAAGGAGTAAGGCACGCTAAAACCGGCAAAATTCAACATTTAGTAGCCTTAGTCTACCTATGATTTATTGTATTTACCTCGATAAACTTGAGCTCAAGTATTGCCTTAATCATTAAACTTTATCCGTGTCTAATCGTTGGTCTCATAAAATGACAAATCCGGAGATATCGGTTCAAACGTACAATGTGGTTTATCAATTTACATCGCTTTGTTATGATCTGTGAACCGAAAACATAAGGGCAATGCTTTGAAAGCCCTCTATCGTTTAGCAATGAAACTAAGCAAAGAACTAGCGAGGTTTGCTAGGGATTTCGCGAAAGTTAAACACGCCTTGTTGTTATTATAGCCGATGTCGAATGACAGTAATTACATGTTATGAACAATATTGTTAAGAACAAATAAAATGGATAAAAATACTAAACATGTGAAATTTTTTATTTCTAATGTAAATAGTATCAATAACACCACGTCGTGTTTAACTTTCCGAAATCCCTAGCAAACCTCGCTAGTCTTTGCTATGTTTGCATTGCTAAACGATAGAGGGCTTTCAAAAGCATTGCCCTTATGTTTCGGTTCACAGATCATAACAAAGCGATGTAAATTGATAAAACCACATTGTACGTTTGAACCGATATCTCCGATTTGTCATTTTTATGAGACCACGATTAGACACGGATAAAGTTTAATGATTAAGGCCAATACTTGAGCTCAAGTTTATCGAGGTAAACACAATAAATCATAGGTAGACTAAAGCCCTGTCTACACTAGCAAACTTTAGTTTGCAAACTCGAGCAAACTCCGAGTTCGAGCAAACTCGAGCAAACTCGAACAAACTCGCGCAAACTCGAGCAAACTCCGAGTTCACTGGTACTGACTGTGAATTCCAATGTTCAATGTCCAATGTTTGTCTATCTGCAGGATCACATGACATACAAACTGTCATTTGATTGGCTGGTTATTCCAAACCTCAGCAACTCGAGCAAACTAGTTTGCCAAGAAGGTGCACGGCCTAACTTCTGCAAACTTCTGCAAACTAGTTTGCCGAAGTTGCCAACTGGTCTACACTGGCAAACTTTGGGAAACTTTTCTTGGCAAACTCGGAGTTTGCTCGAGTTTGCTCGAGTTGCAAACTAAAGTTGCTAGTGTAGACAGGGCTTTAGGCTACTAAATGTTGAATTTTGCCGGTTTTAGCGTGCCTTACTCCTTTTGATACACTCCTGATAATATCATAGCGGAGTACGACACAGGGGAGAGATTCCACACAGCAATGGCGGCCAGAATCGTCGCTCAATGACGTCACGTCCGGACTCAAACTCCTGTTTTAAGGTGCATTGTGACCCTAACCCTAACCATAACCCTAACTCTAAAAAAATTTACAGCCGTGGGAGCAATGGCAGCCGCCAGCGTGTGTTGCAGATAGAGGATTTGGACGGAATTTACAGGAAACTGTCGGCAATAATAGGAGAAAGAGAGTATAGAAACATTAAGAATTTGGTAGTAAATAGATTTCGTATTTATTTCGCAGTGGCGTACGGTACGTAGCGTCGCGTCGTTGAAGCCCTTTTTGGCGTTAGGGTTAGGTTAGGTTTAGGGTTATGGTAGGGTTAGGGTTAGGGTTAGGGTTCTAGCTCATCTAAACTCTCAAATCGTGAATTTATTTCCCAAGGCGTTATTTCGAAATCTGGCGCCGACCGCCGCCATCTTTGTCTCGTTAAGTTATATGAAAGCGAATGGACTCCCGTACCCTAGACCTCGAGACATTAAGATATGGCTACCGTACCCGTAGCCACTGCCTATTTATTTAGCATTATATTTTATTGAAACGCTTCAAGTGCCTGCTGTGCCTGTGGCTCCCGGAGTCCCGCTTCTGTTTAGCTCCAAGAAACGGTATTGCTAGGGTTACAATATGTATAGACCAAGGAGCTACATACAACTCCTATATTAGCTCCTTAGTAATATGGTATAGACAATACGTCGCACAGCCTGGTCGGGCTAGCTTCTGTTTAGCTCTAGTAGTACTATAGCCCGCTTACATTAACTGCCGCTGGCGGCAGTTAAGGCCAAGACACACTGCAGCGACAACGACGACCGAACGACAAACGACTTTTCAGAAAATTAGAAACTATTGTTTCCTATGAGCCATTGCACACTGACGCGACGACGACCGGCGACAACCTCGACGACAAAAATATTTAGAAACGTTTCATATTTCCTAGCGACTTTCGCCGGCGACACTTTACAAATGGGCAATCACAGCCGTTTCCATCGGCACGTGACTTTCCATTACGTCATAAAATTATAAACCAATGCTAGCAGGAAGTAGACTGGTCCCCAGCGCTAAACTCGCAACGCCTGTCAGAAACAGTGGCGCGCCGAACCCATCTAACCAAAACGTGCAAGGCTACGGTCAGCCATCAGACGTTCGTTAATATGCTGCGTATATATTACTATTATATTATCGTTATACATAGAGCGTTTTTACAGCAATTTGTTTAAAAGCAGCAGCAGGAGTTTTTTGCCGTTTGTTTATGTGTGCCACTGGCACTGGCACTGTGGTGAGGGCTGGGTGAACTTTGTCGTTACGGTCGGTCGTTGTCGCTGCAGTGTGGCTGTGCCAGTCGCCGCGACTTTGTCGTTTGTCGTTACGGTCGGTCGCTGTCGCTGCAGTGTGTCTTGGCCTTTATTGTAAGCGGCTATAGTACTAGAGCTAGCTTCTGTTTAGTCCGCAAATGCAGACGTTATAACTCCGCTTGGCTAATCTGAGGGTGCGGGTTTATCCCATTACTGGGGTCTGCGTCGGCTCGGACTAGCTTCTGTTCTGCTGTCTGATCACTGATGTCGATAAATAATATATTATTATAATATTACTATGATATATGCTAATATAATATTAATAATAAACTAGAATAGCAGTGTTTCGACAGATGTTGTAAACCTACGCCAGTGTGTGTCTATCTGCTTCGATGACAAAAACATCGTTTCCATGTCAAAATCGCATCTGACAACTTTTTTGCAGCCACTTGTGTTTTCTACACGTGACAATTTAAAACTCGAGCCGATTACTGTGATTGGTCAATATTTAACAGCATACAACGATAGGCGGCGGGTCATGTTTCCTGTTCCTGTTTCGTATTTTAGTGATTAACAAACTAAAGAAACGGTAAAAGGTAATTTTGTTATTTTTTCTGTGTAATATGTGGAACAAATTCTTAATTATACTTAGTATAGTATGGCTGATGCAATAGTTCACGTTGAGTAGCAATAAAAGTACATGCCTCTGCAGTAGTACTACTAGTAGTAGTACTAGTAGTAGTAGTATTACTATTACTTAGTAAGCACAGGCATTTACCATTTCATTTGCCATTTGGGCCTTTTCATTAATAAAGTCAAAGTGATACTGTGATACTGATACCGTGGTACATTACTGATAGTGATACTGGTAGTGATACTGATAGTGATACTGTGATAGGCCTACTGTGATACTGATAGTGATAGTGTTAGTGATAGTAAACAAACACGAATTGAATATACTACTACTAGGCCTACCAAATTCTTAATGTTTATCTACTATCTTTCGTTTGTTACTAATACTGGTAATACTAATAGTAATACTAATAGTAATACTCGATTCAATTTCTCTATTTTATTGTGAGTTTGTGCACCTTGGCGTACGTGCGGTGAGACTCTGTTGCAGAGAAGAATTTGAACAGCATTTACACAGAATTATGAGTCGATAAACTCATACTATTTCTAGACTCATGATCATAGAGTATACAACATAATTCATTTAATTGATAAACATAAAGACTGGTAGTAAACCCAATTTGTGTTCATTTACAATAATTTTATTATTGAAAGGGTCCAAGTTCCTGTAGCAGGAATACTATTCTAGATTATGAGTAGATACAATAGTAACATAAGTCGTGAATTTAGTATGTAATGAGTTATTTATTATTTACAGTTGGTGATTTAACGATTGTTCTAACAGAAGGGTGCAAGCCGGTCCAAAGCCTTTAACCACGCTATTGTCGTTCGCCAACATGGCGGGCGGAAAAGGATTGAACCAGTGTGGTGTTTGTATCAAGTATTTTATGTTTGTCTTCAACGTGATCAGCTTGGTAAGTATTACAGTGTCTGAAACACATCGCCATCCAATTCAAGTGTCAAATACGTTAAAAAAATCGGCAATGACAGCTTTCAATTTATATCTGCATTGCTTCGTTATATTTGTTCATCAATGGTGGAAGATAAAAGTATTTAAAATTGTAATAACCTATATATATATATATAGCATTCAAATTGTAAGCTATCATTAAAATTGCCACCATAGGGAAGTTTATCAATGAAAGGGTAGTAGTCTCAATTTAAAAAAATGCATTTTATTTTGTTTTTGTAGCAGTTGGAGGATAATTATGGCTACCTAACTATATTGAAATTAAAGGGAAATTGCTTACACATGCCCAAACTTCTCTTTCATTAAAATGTTGTAAATATATTAGAATGTCCATACGTTATACTTGCCAACATGTGAATACCATTACTGCAGTTTGTTTATTTTTGGTAATGGAAAATCATTGAATTAAATGTACAATGTATTTGCGTTTTAGCTGGCAGGTATTGCTGTAGTTGCTGTCAGTGTATGGACAATCGTGGACAAGTTTTACCTGGAAGGTAAGTTTAGCTCCAAATAAACCATCAAATCGAAACAAATTGTTTATTTGGAGTATGTGTCTTTTTAATACCCAATATTATAGTAAGGAAACCATGGTGATTGATAATAAAAATTGGTTTGTTTCTATGCTTAGATTGTCAGATTGTGTATTGGGTGCATCACGTAAAATGCCTGCCAATCGGCATGAATTCAGTGTTGTCTGAAGTAGTGCTGATAGGGTCTATGTCTCCCTGGGTACTGCTGGACACTGCAGATGCTGTTGTCAATAACAACAATCAATAATATCAACAATCAACAAACAATAATGTCAGCAACAATAACAGCAGTTAGTAGCAACATTAGTAACAGCAACAACAACAGCAGCTGCAGTGTCCGGCAGTACCCAGGGAGACATAGACCTTATGAGCTGAAGTAGTACCCTGTTGTAACTTGTGTTTGTCAAAAGCACTGTGTGTTTGCATAATTATTAATTCCCCACGTTGCGTGTTACAGCCATTTTCTGTGTGACGCTGTACGTCGCATGATGTATGTAATTCCCCACGTGTGTTACAGCGATTCTTGGCGTGACGCTGTACCTAGCTTGTATGTAATTCCCCACGTTGCGTGTTGCAGCGATTCTTGGCGTGACACTGTACATCGCCGGGGCGTACATGCTCGTTGCTGCAGGATGCATCATCATCATCCTCTCACTGTTCGCCTGCCTCGGGGCCATCCGTGAGATGAAGTGTCTCCTCATCTCGGTGAGTTGAGGCTGATTGAAGGCAGATGCCAGGGGCTGATGGCACACCGTGCAGCGAGGCTCCCCAGTCTAGGCAGTGCTCGAGTGGTTTCACATTCACAGTCTGCTGACCCAGCATTTTTAGTCTTGATGTTGTGAGTTGTCGTTGAACCTTGTGTTGTTGTCATTGAGCATGGATCTTGCAGGATATTCACCGCAATTGTAATTCAATTACGCAACTGTAATGTCTTTAAAATAGAGAGCAGAATTTAAAATATTTACCATGGAAATGGAAGGCCTGCTGTTGTCAATCATCTTTTTCTACGGCTGTGTCAATGCCAGCTTTGATTGCCTCATGTAGCTCCTGCAACTGTGGCAAATAGAGTGATTATAATGTTGAATCAGTAATAGACTGGTTACGCATACAAAGTCGTTCTGCAATGCATGTAACAGCGTCTAACTCTATGGAATTTCGTTGGGTTTCAGTACTTTGTGTTGATCCTTCTCATCTTCATCGCTCTCGTCTGCGGTGGAATATTTGCATGGATCTATAGAGGCAGGGTAAGCAACCCATCGACATTCACAACATTCCTTCTCACATGCTCGCGGTTTAAAAAATTGGTTTACGCCCATTTACCAGAAGTCGTTTGACATGGAAAGGTGCTGGCATAGTGTATCATTCGCACATAAAATTATCAGTATTTAATCTATAAACCCATTAAACACATGTTATGAATTCCTAGCCACAGAATGTCTGTCGTTGTATAAGTGCCAGAGGTGTTATTGTTACTGTTAGACAAGAGAAGTTGTGTTGTGATTAAATGATTTCTCATCCTGATTGTACTCGGCTAATTAAGTCTCTTGGTCTCGGCTACTTTTAATGCCGCATGCACGTGATTAGCATGAATGAAATTATTAATCGTTATAATAGTTATCACTAAGCTATAAATGTTTTCCGTCATCAGCTGCAGTCTGAGCTGAAGGAGAAGTTGAAGGTGACGATGGTGAATGACTATGGCAGGGAGGAAGAACTTGACAAGACGAGAGGCTGGGACTACTTGCAGGCCACCGTACGTCTTCTGCTCTCTTACTCTAGTCAAACCTGTGTTAGCAGGCACCTCAATAGAGTCGTCACTTGCTTACAACAAACTCTTGGCGTGTCCCTTTAGTTTCAATTATACAGTGAAGCACCACTTTAGAATGGACTCATGTCTATTAAGCGCAGTTGTAGCATTTCATTTGAATGGAAGTTATACAATGAGACCACATCTATTGAGGAGACATCTGTCTGTAAAGGAAAATTTGGGGGGTTCACTTGACTGACCCTTACAGTCAGGTGTGACTTTACTGTCTGAATATCAAGAGGACAGAATTGAGAAATATATTCTGTACTCTCGCTACTGTCATAGATATCGCTGCTGACACACAGAACTAGCCGTTGACTCTCACGCTGAACGAACTAAATAGTCACTGGTGTGCGCTCACGACAAAGTGATCACTGTGCGATTTTCTTTTTCAAGCTGCACTGTTGCGCTGTCAACCAAGAGACGAGCTGGAAGGTGTGGCGGAATACCTACTGGGGTTATGAGACACCCGCAGAAAGGTAAGCATGCGGGGTGACTGAATCAGCATTGCCATTTGATTATATTTCCATTATTGTGTGCACAGCACTGGTAACCGTACATGCACTGTTGCTGCAAACACTGTTTGCTAGTAACAGTGATTGTTATTTGCACAATGACCTGCGCTGTACTAACCACAGGACTGTTACACTGTACTTCTCTCATGGGCAGTAACATTGATTGCTATTGGAATGTCCCATGTAATAGTTACAGCAGGACTGTTACCACTGTACTTCTCTCATGGGCAGTAATGAGGGTTGCTATTCGGATGTCCCACTCTAGTCATGACAGGGGTTGTTACCTGTGTTTCTTTCATGGTTAGTATAAAACACTGATGTTCTGACTACTTGTACGTGATGCTATTTTACTTCTCTTGCAGGGTTCCAGTTAGCTGTTGCATCAATGGACGTGAACTCGAGTGTAAGGATAACAACAAGTTTCCAGCAACATCGTACCTCTACACAACTGTAAGTATCTGACGTAGGGAAGACATCATTGTATCCCCGCGACGAAGTCGGCGGGGATACTATGGTTTCATGTCTGTACAGCCGCCGCCGCCGCAGAGATTTTCCCTTCTGCTCTATAACTCGACCCCTAATTGACCTAGCATGACCAAACTTGGTCTACTTACACATCTTGGGGAGAAGGTGGGCAGCGTACCAAAACCAGGTTACTGCGACCTTTATTTGACCTTTACCTTGACCTTGATCATATTCCTTTCCGCTCTGTAACTCGCCCCTAATTGACCTAGCGCTACCAAACTTGGTCTACTTACACATCTGGGGAGAAGGTGGGCAGCGTACCAAAATCAGGTCACTGCGATCTTTTTTTGACCTTTACCTTGACCTTGATCATATTTCCCTTCCGTTCTGTAACTCGGCCCCTAATTGACCTAGCGCTACCAAAACTTGGTCTACTTACAATTCTTGGGAGAAGGTGGGCAGCGTACCAAAACCAGGTCAGCTGTGACCATTTTATTTTTTTGTTTTTTTTTTTATATCTTTACCTTGACCTTGAATCATAATTTCCCTTCCGCTCTGTAACTCGGCCCCTAATTCCCCTAGCGCTATCAAACTTGGTCTACTTACAATTCTTGGGGAGAAGGTGGGCAGCGTACCAAAACCAGGTTACTGCGACCTTTATTTGACCTTTAACTTGACCTTGATCATATTTCCCTTCCGTTCTGTAACTCGGCCCCTAATTGACCTAGCGCTGCCAAACTT